CTCTGCACTCCATGGCCGGCACCGCATCCTCTCACGCTTGCTCCGCGCCGCTCCTTCCTTCCATCAGTTCGGATCCGGTGCGCGCGTCCCCAACCCCTGATGGCTCTCACGCCGCACCCGCCACTCCAGCTCCGCGCGCACCCCCCGTGGTCGCCGCGGCCCACCAGCGCCGTGCGCTCCTCTCACCGCGCCACACTCGCTCCTGCCGTTGCTGCGCCGGCGCCGACGTGGGTAAGGTGTGGGCGAGGCGGGCGTACCCGTACGACGAGATTGAGCCGAGGTGGCAGGCGCTCTGGGAGGAGCACCCCGGACGCCTCCAGGCCCAAGGGCTACATCCTCGGCATGTTCTCTTACCCAAGGTACCGATCCAAGCGCCTCTCCTCTCCGGCTCCCCGTATGGAATTCTTCATTGAATTGCTCGAGTCGCCTATGAATATGTGGCTACCTCGCCATGAATTTGTGTTTGAGTTGTGTATATAAGAATAATGCATGGTTCTGCAGTTTCAGTTTCTCCAAGAGTGCTCAAATTGTTGGAATTTATCATTTCTCCAGTGTTGTACTAGCCTTGCAATTGCACGCAATGGTGTAATTGAGCTTTAGTCGTGTAGTAGGATATGAGGCTCTAGTTTAGTTTTATCTAGAATATGTAATATTGAAGTATCCTCTGTTATGCGACTGCATAGAGCCTAATATTTACTCTTCTCGGATGCATAAAGTAGTCCCGAAATTGAATCCTAGAGAATGAATGAGTTTGCAACCATTCCTAATTTTTTTTGTTCTTGTCCAATTTGGATTTGGATGCAGCAGGTGCGAGCATGCGTCTCATTTGCAGCCACTGCCAAGCGTCCCAGCTGCCAAGTCCCACGCGTCCACTTATGTGCTTGGATGTTGGAACAATTGGCTACATCGATCCGATGTGTACAGCTCCGGTATCGTCCTTCTGGAGTTGCTCAAAGGGATGAAGACCGTCGACAACGATTGCAATTTGCACCAGTTGGTAAGTCATTCACAGTAAACTCCCAAGTCTCAGATCTTATTACATCTACCTTTTCATTGCATTGTGCAAGTCACTAATAAGAGTGAGATTGAAGTTGTTTTTTGTCAACCATGTTACGATCTTTCAACATGCATGATGTGTTGCAATGGTTTCTATATATTGTCATGGTATGGTCATTTGACCACCCTGTCTCTATGTGTGTGTAGATAATGTCGAGAGCAGATGACAACGCGGTGATGGAGGTGGTGGTCTCGGAGGTGTCGGTGACGTGCACGGACATGGGGCTGGTCCAGAAGGTGTTCCAGCTGGCCCTGCTGTGCACCAAGCAGCACCCCATTGACCGGCCGAGGATGCACGAGGAGGCCCGGGTGCTGCTCTGGCTCATGCCGGCCCCTGCCGTCTAGGTCCCATCCGCATGCCTGCTCCCTCTTCATCTCAGATATTGGATTGAAGTAGGAAAAAACCCTCCTCCATATTGTGTGCTGATGATCTGTATTATGTGTAGAACAATCATGGTGTCTATTTCTGCTTTATGCCCCACGTTTCACTAATAGCATGCCCAACTTCCTACTCTGTAGGAAATAAGTACATGATTGTTCATCCTCTTGTATAACAGTTTAAGTTTGTGACCTGATCTTGTGCTTCTAGTAGCTAGTCCAATTTGCGTACTTTTAAGTGTCTTTTGATGTGGTGGTGCCAAACAAAACTCATATGCTTATGCTGAGCTTACTTTTAATCTTGTGAACATGACAATTTAGAGGATGTACTGTAGTTCCACTCATTTTATTCTCTGTGATGAGCTTATTTTTGTATTGTAGCGGCCTTCTTGTTTACTTTGCTGAATCAGGTCTTGTGTACTAATCCTCACTTGCTAGCATTTGGCTTCTCTATGGTAATTAAACCTGATAAATCTGTATAGTTCTTTGAGATACAAATTCCACATTGCATGTTTACGAGGTTCAATTTCTATAGATGTTGCCAAATGAATGTGTCAATGTGTATCTTCTTAGGGGTTGATTTAAACCACATATTATCTTTTGCTGTTCAAACATTGAAATCCTGGTTCATTTTTCAAACATCGAAATGTTGTTGACCCTATCCTTTTATGCTTAAATGATAAAAATATCGCATTTTGCTTGTTCTAACCATTTTGCTTGATAACTTGCAGATGCCCTTCATTCATGTTTTGTCGTGAGGTCCAGGATGAACAAATTCGGAGAAGCATTGGAGCTAGCTATACTGTGATAGCTGTGTTACCTGATGTGAACATTTTTTATTGTAAAATTGATGTGAACCATGTTTGATTGTAATAATGTGCCAAGTTTGGCTCTTTTTGATTGTATTCATGATGTGAACTATATTTTACCGGTGCTCTGTTTGAAGCATTTTGTTTTCTCTCTGTTCTGATTTAAATATTGTTATTTATGTATTGGAAAATTGAGATCTGAAGAATATAACAGTGACAAGGGACCCACTTATTAGAACCTGACAACTGGGTCCCATCTCACTAGTGGGCCCATCTTTTGAAAAAAATAAATTCAGAACATGAGAGGCCCAGCAAAGAAATATAGAAAGGCTGCAATGTTGGGCCAGGCCCATGAAGTCGACCAAAAAACGACAGAAAAAATATAGAAAGGCTGAATTAATGGGCTAGGCCCATGTAGAAAACTGAATTGGACCGGGCTGAATCTTGTGCCACATCAGCTTGCCACGCTGGATGCCTACGTGGCCTGGGGAGGTTGCTAGTCACCAAAACGCCACAGTAGGAATATTTTGGTCGTAAACGTCTTTGACCATTCCAGAAGAAAGGTCGCTATAGTCAGTTTACGACGGCCAGCTTTTGACCTTCTGTTTTTGGTCACAAAAAGGTCATAAATGGAAATTTGTGACCTTTCAGTGACCAATAGAGGTGGTCATAAGTTGACATATTTCTTGTAGTGAATCTAAACCATGTAAGACACTATGTACATTGTGTTTAACACGCACAACACACACACACACACACACACATCATTTAGATATGTGTTGCGAATTGAATAATATGCCCATGCGATACCTGCCATCGGTATCTCAAATTTAGATCTATTTGACCTTATACAATGAGTATATAGTATAGCATGGTCGTTTCAAAATCACACCATGCATATCTCAATTATATTCATGCATGCATGGGTTTCAAACATCATGATCTCTTATCAAATATTTGAATTCAACTTTACATTGATTATGACCTCACCAAGTCTTTTACACCCACACAGTCATCTTCTCTTTATATTTGTACCACTAACTTTCTCATGTGCATGCATGCACACAAACTACCACTCGACATTATCCATCGCACGCACGCAATCTTTTTCTTTAGGCCAGTCTCCCATGTTGTCGGTCTTCTGGGAACCAGGGTACCCAGACCTGCCTGCCTGCGGCCGATGGTGTGGCTCCATCGACGGCCTGGTATGACCCTGCTTCAACTACAACAAGACAAGACCCTCGTGATGGGCCAAGCCTCGCGAGGCAGGCGACATCAAGACCTCCTGAGGGAACGGCCTCCTCAGGTGGCCTCCTGACGGAGCGGAGATTTCTATGCAAGACCCAGCCTCACGAGGTTGGAATGACATCAGCCATGACGACCAAGGCCAGGCGCGTGCCAGCGGGCGTAGAGCGGCAGGTTTCCACTTTGGTGCAAAGGAGGCAATCATAGGTGTGGAGTCCAAAGGAATCAGCCAAAGGTTGCAATATCCATGCAACGTGACCAAGACCGCCAGAATGGCAGGACAGATGTCATCATCGAGCCCACCACGACGTCACGATCAGAAGCTCTGCAGGCCAAGACCACCTTTCGTCAAGATTAGATGTACTTCTTGTCCCCTTTCAAATTTGGCCATTGTGGGATCCCTTCCCGCCTACGTTTTGGAGGAAGAGGACCAAGGCCACCATAAAATATAGCCGAGCCACCACCGTAGAACACATCGGGTGATCAGCTCATCGAATCCCCAAGTGCTCATCACAAGAATACTCCTCCTGAGGATGTACTTTCACTTGTACTAGTTCATCCTCAGCCCCCCCCCCCACGCGAGGCTAATCCACCACAAAGCAGGAGTAGGGTTTTACACCGCAAGGTGGCGCGAACCTGGGTAAACTGTTGTGTCTTTCTCTTTCTTATTCATCGAGCTAGGTTGTGACAGTAGCAGATCGATCGGCTTGAGATGTTGAGCTCTTCGCACATGCCCCTGAGTTCAAACCTTTGTTCGGTCTGCAGAGCCTGGAATCCAACATTTGGTGCGTGAGGTAGGGGTGTGTCGAAGCCTCTCTTCCGTCAGTTGTTTCACCACCGCTCCGTTGTTCTCATGGCAGACACTCATCGAGTTCGTGCCGAGCACCGGGCAGACCTTGCCACGCGCGTCGCTCAGACGACCCCCATTGGCAACGGTGCTCCTCGCCACTCCCCGTCGCCCGTGGCCAACGCTGCCACTGGCCCTACAGCCCACGAGCAGCAGGATTCGGTGTTGCTGCCATCCGTGCGATGCCACGGCCGCACCGCCACTCCGTCGCTTACCAGGCCACTGCTTTGTCCTCCCATGCCAGTCGCGGGCCGGCGACTGCGCAGTCAGCGGTGCTCATGGTGTGTGAGCTCCTGCGCTACCGTCCGGCTGATGACCTCTATGAGGATTGCTGGACCACATCATCGAGCTCGTTAGTGCTTCTGGAGAGGCTCTTGCGATGTCCCGTTCGCTGCCTCCCCCGTAGCACCAGGCGGGCAACATAGCTCACGGTGTGCCTCCTCCGCCTCTCCGGCAAGATGTCGTCCCCGAGCCAAGGTGTGAGGCCACCCAGTGCGACCAGCCATGCAGGACACCCGCGCGCGATGAAGAGAGTTGTCGGGTTGTGCAGCGGCCTCAGGGAGGCCCGTGCGCTCCCAGCTCATCCTACGCCCTTGCGTCAAGATCGCGTGTAGCCAGAGCTGGTTGCGCATGGGTGTCAAGACCTGGATCCCCCTCCAAGGCGAGCCCCCATGGCCACGGCGGAATGCCGAGCGTGCACTCCGGAGCTTCGCCGTGTCGTCTGGCCCAACAAGTTCAAGCTGGATCTGCCTCCACGCTACGACGGCACCCCTGACCCGCCGAGTTCCTTCAGCTCTATGAGCTGAGCTTCGAGGCGGCGAGTGGTGACGAGAAGGTCATGGCAAACTATTTCCCCATGGCTCTCAAGGATGGCGCATGCTCGTGGCTCCTGAATCTCCCGGTGGGGTCAATCTCCTCCTGGGACGAGCTGCGAGAACGCTTCATCGCCAACTTCCAAGGCACCCGCGACCGCGCTCCTGCAGCTGGCGACCTGCGGCGCATCAAGCAACAACTAGGAGAGACCTCACACAATTATATCTAGTGCTTCACCAACGTTCGCCTCAAGATCCCCAAGGTGTCGGACGAGACCCTCATCTTAGCATTCACTGATGGCGTCCGGATGTCAAGATGAAGGAGGACCTCGCCATACACGGGGACATGTGCTCAGCTCTGTAGATGTTCAACATGGCGACCAGGTGCGCAAGGGCAGAAGAAGGTCGCCTCTCACTCCTCGAGCTCCCTGAAGCCAATCCTGAAGACAAGAAGGCCAGGGCGAAGGACGTGAAGCGCAAGGGCCCGGCGGTGCTTGATAACCCACAGGTGTAGGGGATCGCTACAGCTTTCGAGGGTAAAGTATTCAACCCAAATTTATTGATTCGACACAAGGGGAGCCAAATAATATTCTTGAGTATTAGCAGTTGAGTTGTCAATTCAACCACACCTGGAAAACTTAGTATCTGCAGCAAAGTATTTAGTATCAAAGTGGTATGATAATAAAGGTAACGGTAGCAAAAGTAATATTTTTGGGTTTTGTAGTGATTGTAACAATAGCAACGGAAAAGTAAATAAGTGAAACACAATATGTGAAAAGCTCGTAGGCATTGGATCAGTGATGGATAATTATGCCGGATGCGATTCCTCATGTAATAGCTATAATATAGGGTGATGCAGAACTAGCTCTAGTTCATCAATGTAATGTAGGCATGTATTCCGTAAATAGTCATACGTGCTTATGGAAAAGAACTTGCATGACATCTTTTGTCCTACCCTCCCGTGGCAGCGGGGTCCTAGCGGAAACTAAGGGATATTAAGGCCTCCTTTTAATAGAGAACCGGAACAAAGCAATAGCACATAGTGAATACATGAACTCCTCAAACTATGGTCGTCATCGAGAAGTATCCCGATTATTGTCACTTCGGGGTTGTCGGATCCTAACACATAATAGGTGACTATAGACTTGCAAGATAGGATCAAGAACACACATATATTCATGAAAACATAATAGGTTCAGATCTGAAATCATGGCACTCAGGCCCTAGTGACAAACATTAAGCATAGCAAAGTCA